CAGTACAACATATGGTTATTTATGAGTAAATTCAGGTTTGAGAAGTAGATGCAGATTATGTTTAGTCTATGGACTCAGAAGACGTAACAATTCTTACAAACTCTTTCATTGTATTTCATAATCACATATTTGATGGTATACTTTATAGAAATCCTAAGATTAAACCAATTAACTAAATAAACTTTCAAAGATGCACTCAATTTTCAGGCCTACCTGTGACCTGTTGTGTCAATATTTATAAGTCATTGTTTTTACTTGACCACTCCGTGCTCTGGATGCTTCTTCAATCATTGCCTAGAATGATTACAGAAAAATTATGCCCAAGTGGAGAGTCACTTCCCCCAAATGTATTTTATGGCTATAGAGGAGGACCTTAAGGAGGCTCTATTAAATATCAGCCCAGACCTTTCCTTCACCAAGAGTACCAGGGTATGACAGCCTCTCCTGGTGTTGGGGAGGTGTTCTGAATTTCTTTCACATTCTCTCTTGGGCCTAGATTAAATCCCACTCCTCTGGCTGGCATATGGTCCTAATGGTGGTGGCCATAGCAGAGTACTTTGTTCACTCCAGCAGACTCCTATCTTCACTCTCCCAGTATCCTCTGGTCTGACAGTCTAGTCTCTAAAATGAACTTTGGAATGAATAAAATGAAATTTGGAACTCTAAAATGCCCCAGTGGAAGGGGCAATCTTCCTCACTAGGGGCACACCACAGGAAGACGGTTGTATACAAAGGAGACGCCTTTCTGCTCAGACACCAGACTGTACCACAAGGATCCTCTTGCTCCCAGCCTTTCACCTCTATAAGCCCACCCAGGGCTGAGGGGCCCATCTTTTGCACTTCTGGCCGCCACCCTCTCCTACCACCAGACTTTGGCGCAGTAAGAATGGTATTAGTCAAAACTGACTGGCCAAGAGCAAGAATGAAATTGTTACTAAATTTCTTAGATATATTAGGATTATGGTTTTATTGGAAAGTGTCTTTTTTAGGAGATGTGTGCTGATGTATTTTGAGATAAGTGTTATGGTATCTCACTTTCAAATAGTTCAGAGGGAGCCTGGGTGGCTCAGTCAGTTAGGCATCTGACTTTGGCCTAGGTCATGATTTCCCCAGTCCCAAGTTCAAGCCCTGCGTCAGGCTCTGTGCTGATAGCTCAGAGTCTGCAGCCTGTTTCATATTCTGTGTCTCCCTCTCTCTCTCTCTGCTTCTCCCCCATTCACACTCTATCTAAAAGTAAATAAACATTAAAAATTTTTTTAAATCAAATAGTTCAGAAAACCAAACACACGCGCGCGCACACACACACACACACACACACACACAGAGCACTTGTGCAGTATATTAATCTGTTTCCACTAATTACCTGCTTATAAATAGAAAAACTGAGGTCAAGGGAGATCTGTTCATAGGTTAAGGCACCAGGATTATACATGATTCTGCCAAAGGGTGATTGATTAATCCTAAAGGTATTTTTGCTTTTGGCGGGGAGAAGCAACTGGGTGCCACTGCCATCAGCCTCAGCATGGTCTATCCTGGACCACAAACTGATTGTAATATGGAGAAGGAACATCAAATATGAAATGAGCATGTCTGGGTGTCTGTAAATTGAGCACTGGTCGGGAGAACCATGTGTAGCCCTGACAGCTGGTCTTAAAAATAACGTGAAATACAAGCAAAGGGTTCAGTCTGGTTGCCAGGCAACCCTGCCACCAGCTCCCTTTCGGTTGACCTTTTTTGTTTTCTATATACTTAATATTTATACTTTCTGGACCTCCTTTGATTCATTTAAGATTTAATGAGTACTGTTTGTATAAGTTGAAGGGATCCAGGATAGACCAGACCGTAAGTTCTGAAACAGGGCAGAATTCTTGCCTTCAAGCATCTTACAGTCTAGTAAGGGGTCCTGGGTGGCTCAGTCAGTTAAGCATAGGACTCTTGATTTCGGCTCAGGTTATGATCTCATGGTTTATGAGATCGAGCCCTGTGTAGGGCTCCCTGCTGACAGCACAGAGCATGTTTGGGATTCTCTCTGCCCCTTAGCTGCTTCCACTTGCTCTCTCAAAATAAACT